GCGTTATAGAATTAAAAGTTTCTATAAGAACGGATTCTAATAAGTATTCGGATGAATGAAAACTTTTAAGGATTTCTAATAAGGCGTACATTTTTAACGAAACTTCATTAATATTCTAATACAACTGGAATTCTAATGAAGATTGGATAAAATTAAATTAATATTACATAATACAAAAGATTCAAAATTAAAATGGAATGGAAATTCTGAATTAGGACAGATATTCGAAAATAAAGAATTTTAATAAAAAATGATTCATGAATTTGTATGAAGAAAAACAAGAATTCCAGCTAAATGAAGGTGTTGCATGAATTAGTAGTATAACGTTGAATTTCTATTAAATTCGCTAGGATCGCAATTCGAGCGTGACAGAAAATTTAAGAAAGTAAGTCTTTCGAGAAATTGAAACTTTGATTAAAGTATAAAGAGAGAACGGGTTATCATGAGGGAACAAAACAGTTAGGTAATTAGAATTCTAAGGTGTATTGGAATTTCAATACAATTATAATTTCAATAAGAAGTTTGCGCAATCACTATTACAAAGTAATCAAAATTCCGATACAGATAGAATTCTAACCATGATAAATTTTTAGAAATCACAAATGAAGGCAAAATAGTTATTTCTCTTTCAAAATTTTCGACTGTCAAAATTGCCTTTTAATCTCAACATTTTAAGCCGCCAAAAACATTCTTCTTCCTCAAAGTCTAAGCTGATGCTGTATCTTGGTTTATTCTCTTTTTATTTGTTTTTTTTTTTTTTTGCAATTATTTCATTATTTGTAATCGTCTCCGCCGCCACACTTACACGCTCACGCACACTTGCTTTTCTCTTTCCATCATTTTTTAATTATATGTTTATCTCTTTCCTTCCCCTTGTTTCGTTTTCCGTCATTTTATTCATTTTCAAGTGCCCTCCGCTCTTTTCCTTTCTGTTTGTGTTGGTAGTTCTTATTTTAACCACTGATCATCTTGTATTGTATCTTAGGTTTCGCTTAATAATATATTAGCTGTGTGTGTTTTGTTTTTCTTTAATGTGATGGTGGAGTTTGGACTGAACACAATTATTTATCGATGGCAGTGTTGGTTTTGATGGCAATCACGACCTCCTCACCACAGGCTTTCAGTACGGTGCACTAAAAATAGACAATTTGTTTTTCGCTTTTTCTCTTAATTAAACGCGAAACAGCTACCACAAATCAATTTAATACTTATACTTTACGAAAACCAAATAAATAATTAGGTTTTTAACATTCATTTGTTTCTTATTTCATTATAAATTCAGGTAAAATTACAAATATTTGTCTGTAATTATTCTAGAAATCGTTCTACATTGAACTTTTATTCATTTGAATTTATGAGACTCGGAATGATACTTCTCAAATAGAAAAAGAATATTTGATTTGATTTTGAAACTACATGGATACTTACAAGAAGCTCTTTCCCAGCCTCGTGATCGGCACGTAACTGAGCACCCAGTTCACCATCAGGAATTTTCAGATCCTCGCGAAGTTCACCATTATCAGCCATTAAGCATAAGTATCCATCGTCAGATATGTCTGCTAACTATAATATATATATTTATATATAAATTTGTATGATACCATTGCTTAGTTGACTGAATAACATTATTTTCGAATAGCACTATAAAATTGTTTAAGAAATTCTACAGAACTTAAAAGACTCAATATGCAATAAATAAAACAAACACATACACAAATAACAAAGTAAAACCATCCATTTCTTAGTTTATATCATCTTGTTTTCTAATTTTAATATATAAACAAGGCAAAACATTAAATTTTTAAGAAATTAGAATAAAATACTGCTTTGAAATGTCCAACAACTATACTTTTCCTAACACAATTAATATTTACCTAACAAATTACTGATGCTAGGTTAATTAATTAAACGAAAATATTTCTAAATACCTGATAATCTTCTCGTTTAACAAATGGCACATCCATGTTGTGCGTAGAGGGACAAATATCTTCATATTTTTTCGAAGTAAAAATGTCAATGCCTACAAGATGTACCTTGGCATGACCATGCTTTCCTGTCTTAGAAGTTGACATTTCTACAATTTTACATGGTCGGGATTTGAGCATTACGAACCCATTTTTACGCAGTGCAGAACACTGCATAGGGTAGGTTACAGAAGCACCAGAGTCTCCAGTTTCGAAGTGAGTATCCTCTATGTCTGCCATCCTTGAGTTTTGTCAATCTAAAAGTACGATTAAAAATAAATTGACACACACTTGGACAGTTCAAAGTTCATTATTAATTTTATTTGAACAGTTTAATTGTAAATAAAATTGATGTATGTTATAATTATTAAATTTATTTGAGTACATAGCAGTCTTGGTTTAAATGTAGTCATTAATGTTACTCATTCATGATGTATTCATATATTTTTACAATTTCATACATGAAATATCATTTTTATAGATGATAAAAAAAACTACAATAAAACAATGACAACACTTTTCAAAACTGATATGCAAAGAATCATTGATTAAGACAATCAATTATTAAAAAGATTGGATGAAAAGAATAAGATAATTCACTAAATATCACATATTTTTCACTGTATAAATGAAAATGATAAAACTTTTAATGGAATTATGTTCACTGAACTTTAAACAAATATTTAAAGATACCATAACTTGATGATCTTGCAAACATTGTAATTCTTTTACAATTACCATATGGAGTATGATATATCACTAATGAAAACAGTATCGACAGAAAACATTAAGAAACCGTACTAAGATCGTATTAAAATTACTATTTTAAATGAGAATGAACAAAAATAAAACTAAGAATAGTTGTTGTAATAAAATAAGATTTCATTAAAGTCTAATTTTGTGTAACTTCATAAGTCGTTAGGATTATATTGATATTGTTACATAAAAGTGAAATATAGGTGGAAAATGCAGAATTATTTTACACGGCACAATATGTTTTGAAATATAACAGTATACACGCTCCAGTTGTTACTTCTTCAGATTCAAAATGTACACCGATATTTCAGCAGACAATACATTTTCAACCCTAAACTATGACTAAAAAGTACAATTAGGTGTGCTGAGGTTGTTTCTAACAATAAAAAGAGCACTACAGCTTCTTATAGTATGGAATGGGACCAACTTCGAATTGCAAAAAAATTCAAATGTTTCAGAAATCTCATAAAAACAAAACAAGAAAAAACAGAGAAGGTTGTAACATTAGAGAATATCGATTCCAGAAAACGTTCTCGGAGATTTTGAAACGCGAACAGCTTTAAAAACTGCGAGAAAACGATGGAAGAAGTGTTCGCGAACACGTTGCGGAAGCACGAGCTAACCAAAGATTCGACCCGGCTGACAGTTCCCTGGTTATCGAAGCGTTTATATGAAAAATCAACCGGGACGCCTCGCGGAACTCGAATTACCTTCGGTGACGAGTTTACTGCGGTTTTTTCACCGTTTTCTTCGAGAAGATGGCGCGAAAAGGATTGCGTGCGGTTTGTCGTCGAAGTTGCCGACACTCGAAGAGGTCTCGGGGTATCACGGATGTCAACTGCTTTCTAATAACGTCGGCCTTTATTATCCGGATATATCGGCGCACGTTTTGTAAACTTGCTCGATCGATCACAAGCGGATCGGCTAGACTCACCGTGAAAAAAGGAGAACAGACTGGAGATACTCACATGTGATCAAAATGGACACTCTAACCAGAAGAGTTGGCTGCGCTTGCGCGAACCGCTAAACGGCGACAGGGGGCCACCCGAATAGATCCACGGATTCCGGCTGAAAGTCTACGTGGGGGTAGAGTTGGATGCGAAAATTTTATTGCCAGCCAGAAGTTTCGTGTAATACGCACGCGCTGTATTACGTAGTATAATTTTCTTCGACTGTTACCAAAAGTCAGACCTCGAATGAAAAATATTATACACCTTTCACCGGTTTCGAAAAACACGAATATAGTTGCAACTAATAAATTCACAAACATTTGAGATCGAGTACTTTTTTTTTCTTTATTGTATTTACCATTAAACCTTTAAATGCAAAAGTAATTTACGTGGAACTGAATTGAATAATGCATAAAATAATTGTGTATAATTCATACATTGGATATAAAAAATAGGTTTAGTGTTAAATTGGAACTTTTGAGTTTTTGACTAGGTTCATTTCGACGATACGTTTATCCAATTCGAAAAGCGCGCGGAAATAAAACCACGTGACCGTGGGAGAATCTGATTCGTCGGTTGGTACGACACTCTATACAGGGTGTCCCAAAAATGTTGTAACACCTTGAAAGGGGTCGTTCGGGAGGTGATTTGAAACAACTTTTTCCTTAGCGAAAATGTTGTCCGAGATTTTGTTAAGCAGATATTAACAAAAAACTTCGACCAATCAGAGCGCGAGTATGCCGGTGGAGCGTAGGCTACACGCTAGGCGGCCGCGCTCATGCGCTACCGCGGCCGCTCCACCGGCAAACTCGCGCTCTGATTGGTCGGGGTTTTCGCTTAATACCTCCCAACGAAACCTCGGACAACGTTTTCGCTAAGGAAAAAGTTGTTCCAAATCACCTCCTGAACCACCCCTTTCAAGGTGTTACAACATTTTTTGGACACCCTGTATACAGGATGCTCAGGGCGTTCGCGGGTCCAACGCAATAGCAAAAAGACATAATAAAATTATACTTCGACGACTTCCGTCTCATTGCCGACTATAATAAACCCAGCAGAACTCAACTGGGCGCAAAATAAAAAAAACTATGGCAGCTTCGTGGAGTAGAACTTCTAAGTTTAACGATGCGAAAGGTTTATTTTTAGAAGTAAATTCGAATTCAATGGCCGAACCTAATAAGCAATAATAGTTTATTCGATTAATTATTAATTTCCTTTTTTTATGATATCTTGTATTGTTGTTTCGTATGTCTCTGTGTCTCAAATATATTTTTATAATAATATATCAATTCTATTGTATTTGGGCGCATACAAATGGAATTCGAGCAAAGCTTGTCAACAATAATAATTTATTATAAAATTATATCGTAATAAATATACGGAAGAACAAATCAGCCTGATAAATTACACTGAATGAACTCCCTTGATAAATGCTTCGACGGATGTAATTGGCGTGTCTGGAAAAATACCATGTCCCAAATTCGCGATATATCGAGTCTTAGAAAATTTCATAGCCATATCTCGACCTCGATTCGTTATTTCTTGCTGTGTAAAAATTGTATTAATTACACATTACATATAAATATTATATGATTTAATGTATGATTAGTATATTAGTATAACAATATGAACCTCGGGAGCATATAATGCACATGGATCCAAATTTCCTTGTAAAGTAACATCAGGACCCAATCTTTCTCTTGCTTCCAAAGGGTCCACGGTCCAATCTAAACCTAACACCTCGTAACTTTTTGATTTTGCTAACATCTCCAAAGAATTCATTGTTGCACCTTTTGGAAAAGCAATCTAAAATTTGTTTATAATCTCTCAATTAATTGTAATACACATCTTACTTAATTTCATGAAATACACAATTAACGTAACCTCGATGATTGGAGTATTTAAAATTGGAAATTAGACTGTATTATGAATAATAATTTTCTTCGAGCCCTACCATTGGTACATCAGGAATATTTTCTTCTTTAAGTCTTTGTCTGACCTTTTCACTAATTTCCTTCAAATATTTAAATGAATAATTTGAGAATAATTCATCGTTGAGAAAATCGCCGTGACTTTCAAATACTTGTAATAACTATAAAAACAAAAAAAAAACTGATATGAAAAAAAGCATTACAGATTTGTAACATATATTCAATAATAAAACACGCCATATTAAGAACTTGAATTTATACCTGTGCTCCTGCTTTAACTTGCATCACAAGGTAGTCCACTACGACATTCGTAATGAGTTGTAAAAGTTTGTGCGAATCTTGTGGATATTTGTACAACCAAGAGCGTGGTTTAGTCATTGTTGAACTTCCCCCACCTTGGATCATGTAGCTCATTAGTGTCCACTAATAATTCACAAATATGAATACTGTTGTTATAAAATCTGTGTATGTGTACAAATAAACATAGAAAAACTTTCATAAAATATTTGTTTACATTATGAAAACCTTTTAGAATGTCATGTTTCTTGAAAATCGTAGAATATATACCATTTAAAGTTTGTTTTACTTACAGGTGCACCAGTAAAGCCAATTAACGGTACTTTGCCTTCTAATTTATGCCGTGTTAAAGTTATAGCTTCCCCTACATATTTTAAATCCTTCTCTACATTTACAGAGACTAATCTATCTAAATCAGATGGAGTGTTCAAAGGTTTGGGCAAAACTGGTCCCTACAATAACAATACACTATAAAATATTTTAAACTTTTGGCATCTCAATTTCTTAAATTAAAATTAAAAATTGTAAGACACATACCGTTCCAGGAACCATTTCAACAGTCAAACCCATGGCTTGCGGAATGACCAAGATATCAGAAAAAATAATACTGGCATCGAAATCAAAACGTTTCAAAGGTTGTAAAGTAACCTCGCAGGCCAAAGCTGGTGTTTGACAAACGGTAAAAAAATCATGCTTTGATCTGATTTCTTGAAATTCAGGAAGATATCTTCCAGCTTGCCGCATTATCCACATTGGGATACGTTCTACTGGTTCCCCGCGTGCAGCTTTCAAGATCAAGTCATTTTTTAACGGTGGAAATTCCTCTTGTGTCATTATTATTGTTGAATAAAAGTTGTAAGGTTTAGGCAGCTGTGACAGATTTCACTGACCTGGAAACAAAAATGGTGATATAACAAAATTTTAATGAAATAAGAAATTACTTTATAAAATCATAACAATTCTCTTATTAGCATAAGACAAATGATTTGTACTTGTGAAATGTGTTTGTATTTACGTACTTACAATGAGGAAATATTAAAAGTCTGCAAAAGTGCGTACTATTTGTTTTCTTTCATATATTCCGTCGTTCATTAACTTGTTACTTCTAACCAACAAAATCATTAAAATCTATATTGTATTCAAATTCTATTTTAAAGAACACTTATTTCTTTCTAACTACTCTTTTCGTTCTATTCGATCATATCACATAAAGAAAAGAACAATAGTCTAACATGAATTGCACTTTTTTTACTTAAATAATACATTAATCAACGCCAATCACTTTGACTGTATAACCGTTGGTCATATAGGTTATGTAGTCAAAGAGTTACAAGTTACAATTTACAATTAAAATTGAATTACGTTATTTTCTGAAGATGGCAGCAAAATCACTATTCGAAACATGGTTTTCATTCAAACAAGTTTAAATCGTGAATTCTAATTAAAAATTGTCGCAATCTTTCAGAAAATATTGTTTATATATTTCTATTGCATACAAAATATATACAAAGATCGATCACGTATAAATAAAACGATATTGAAATTTGATAAACTGATAAAAAAATATTTGAAGTCGTTAAATAATTTTATGTATATTTCGAACATACATTACTGCATAACGTCTTACATTTTTAAAAAATTTAAATTGAAGCTTGATAACTTGGCATCTTTGTATTTTAAAAATTTTAAGGAACGTTGAAACTAACCTTACTTTTTCTATTGTATTATACGAGATAAAATACTCGCTTTGTTACTTTATTCTTGGTTTTTCTTTAATGAATCGCGCATAGTGATTTGTTTAAATTATAAAAACGTTGAACAATGGAAACTGTACAATTAGAAAGTTCGTCTGAAGATGATAATGACATATACTTAAACCCTGTTGCAAAATTGAAAGGTATGTACATGAACATTGTTACAGACGTTAGTAATAGAATTTCTATTATTTACAATACATTTACATTAAAAATTCGATTATGATTTCAAATTTTGATGTAATATCGTTAGATTTTTCTAACTTATACGTGTTGTTTTTATGAAGAACATGTTACAATCCATTATTTTTAATGTAAACTCTACGTATATGCTAAGAATACAAAATTGTATATTTCAGAAAACATTGTCAAAAGAATTCTTATTGTACCTAATGCTTGCAAAATATTCTCAGACTAATATGATGTTTAAATGTGTTTAAATTGTAGCCCTGAAAAAACAAACATCGCATTTCAACAAAGAAAAGGACCAAGAGAAGAAAGATGAAAAAACAGAAGAGTTGAGCCACATTACATACATATAATAAAGCTCATAACATTGACATTTTAAAATATAGAATTCATTCCATTATAATTAAATTATCTATGTGATTTTTATGCACAAGCAAATACTAATTTTACTTTTTCAATTATGGTATAAATATTTTATATAACCCATTGAATTTGCAGAATTGAAGTTATAGAAGATACTCCAACTGTTGAAACGTGTAGGGTGGTTAGAAGAACAAGGAACAATCGGAAAACCTGTGGTCCTCGAACAAGAAAGCAAAGACAAGTAAAATAATTCGCAATTATTACAAACATGCAATACTATTAAGTTTTCTTGTGATTGTTACTGATATAACAAATTTTTTTAGACAAGAGCTCCATCAGAACACGACTCAGATTTAGAAATTGTTTCTGTGGAAGACAAATTGAATTCGTTGGAAAATGATTTGATAATAGTAGAAAACAATATCCATGTTAACTCTAGCGATGATGAAAACTATGACATAGATATTAAAATCCTTTGGCGATCCAAAAATGTGCATCGTTTGAAAATTCGTTGCGTACGTAAAAAAAATTTTGATAAATGAATTGTTATATTACATGCAATGTATTTCATATTGTATTTCTAATTTTTTCAGAATGAAAACTTTCGAAAAGTTTTCGAGTATTTTGCTAATTTCGAACAAGTTTCTACGGATGAGATCTTAATAACTAAAAACGATAAAACCATTAAAAAAAGCGATACTCCAGCTTCCATAAATCTATCTGTGATCGATATACTTGGTAAATTGATTCAAATTTCTTAATGCTAATTTGGATACAAGTCCAAACTAGTTTTTTTGTAATTAGTTATTACAGAAAATTGAAGCAAACATATTTTTGTAGAAGGAGGTATTGTCACAAAAGGTAGTAATACATTGCAAAATGACATGGAAAACAAAGTTGATGAAGATACTCGTATTATAAAAGTACAGACAAAAAGCAAGAAGTATCTAACGATATCGGTTATGCGAGATGAAAATTTCGAAGCACTTTGGGCAAAATGTGCACAGGAATTAAATATCGAAGAGTCGAAAATGAAACTTTACTTTGATGGAGAATTAATTGCAATGACAGATACACCAGACTCATTAGAAATAGAAGACGAAGCTTGTTTCGATCTTCAAATATCGTCCTAGTTTAGCATTTTAATTTTATTTATTGAACTAATGTTATTTAAATTATAAGTAATTAGTGACAACATATTTCCAAACAATTATTTCTATATGAAAAATTAATTAGTGCATTCCATAATTATAGAATGTCTTTTAGAGTATTTCGGATCAAACAAGGGAAATCTATACATAAAAGTACATATTGAATGATAACTGTGAGTACTTATTAGTAAAAAATGTATATTTAATTTTCGTTTATCATTAAAATTTTATATCAATTAATTAAAATTAATTTGAGTCAAAATTAATGGTGATCCTTCAGAAGGAGGTAATTCCATTGTTTCCTGTGCTTCCACGATTCTACTTCTAATTATATTTCCCTCGGCATCAGTCTCGTCAATCGATATTAAAATGTTCGAAATGACTGGCATCGATTTCCCTTCGTAGCCGTCCTCTTTCGATACGTTTTCTGTTCCTCTATTTTCATCCTCATCCACTGTCTCATCCGAATCTTCAAAGACCTAAAAATAACAAATTTTATTTGATTCTGTATTTTAATTTCTTACAAATATTTATTTGAAATTAACTAAAAGTATTACCTCTACTCGAGGTATACTAGAATTTTTATTTAGTTTAATTTTGTATTTCTTCTCTTCGATTTTTGTCTGCGAATGAATCGAAGAATCGCTATCTTCTTCGACAGCCTCGTATCTGACCATTTGCAATCTATAACAGCCATCTTCGTTATGAGTGTACTGAAATTTTGTGTGTCCACTAGGTAGTTGCAATCGATGCGCCTCGATTAAATGTTTCGTTAATCTGTAGCTTTTTCTGTATTTTATTGGACATTCATGGCAGCAGTACCACCGTACTTGCTTATCGTGAACTCGTTCTACGTGTCTTAAAATATGAAAAATTGATTAGAAGTTTATTTCTAAACTGCTCCCTTCTAAATTTTACAATTATTAGTCGAATTTATGCATTACCTATCAAGACTGTATGCACCTTTACACGTGTATAAACATCCCTCAAAGTGACACGAGAAATTTGGTCCATTTGTGTGAACTGTCATATGCGAATCAAGATCCTGTTGGGACTTTGCAGCGTGCTTACAAAGTTGACAGGGAAAATTTCTACTAGAGACGTGTCGGTATCTAACGTGTTTAGCCAAACTGGCTGGCGATTCACAGCTCATATCGCACAGACTGCATTTGTAATTAAAAACATGCAACCGCATATGGTCCCTCAAAATTCCTTCCGTGGGATAGAATTTATTGCAGTGGGAGCACTTGAATCCCTGAACTGACGAACAAATTTAGTTATTTTTATGGATAAAATTATATTAATAAAATAGAGTAGCAAGAAATTTAATTTTATATCATAATTTTATACCATCAATTGAAATTTGCCGTTTGCAGTGCACATGAAATTTGGTATTAGAAGCGAATGTCGCACCGCAATTGGGACAAGCAACAGTCTTTTCCTTTGTATGACGTCGTACGTGATCTCGTAACTTGTATAAATTAGGGTGAAAGACATTGCAACCTGTCCATTTGCATTCTAAACCTCCCTCAATTTTTTTACCTCGTGGACTCTCTTCTACGTGAGCAGCAACATGGTACAAGAACAACTGATAATTTCTGAAATGTGTTAGACATTCTTCCCATCGACACAGAAGAGGCGGTGGAAGGTCTACGACATTCTTCCATCCAGAGTCCCGATGGCATTTCTACATCAAAAAATTATAAATTAAAATAACTAAAGTAAAATTGTGAAATTTCCATACCATGCTATTATTAAAATAAGAAACAATTTTGTTTTAAAAAGATATTCGAGTAGTTATTTAAAAAATTTGAAACTAACGTGAATACAGATACAATTTTATTACAAGAATTTATACAAAATTCATTCAGACTCCGACTGCAGAAAACCCAGAAATAAATTGCAAAGTAAGCCTTTAAAACAAAAGAAGAAAAACTATGTAGAAGTAGATGGAACAGAGTTTATACAATTTTATTACAATAAAATAATATTATTCAATTAAAAGTACTTTATTTAATTTTGAATTTAAAGAAAAGAAATTAATGATAAATCGTTCAGATTAATTGGGATTCTATAATTTAATATATTAGTTGAGTAATCAAATATTGAATGAATCCTTACAGGCAATTTAATTCTGGCGCGAATATTTGAACCAATGCACTTCAGCTTCGTATGATACGCGTGATAATTGACATGCCTCGAAATCTCGTCAGGATCGTTGTTCGCATAGAAACAACCATCCCACTGGCATACATAAACTTCAACACCTTTCTCATTTGTTTCCGTACTTAAATCAGGCACGTGTTGAGCTACATGTTTCGCAAATCTCTCAACATGATCCGTTTCGAATTCGCAATTGGTCCACGCACAGGAAAGATTAAGAACCTCACGATTCTGCGCCAAACCAACTCTCCTTCTTTTCGCGCCGCATTCGGATACAGAATCGAATTCTGAATCAGTAACATAACTTTCATCGTCATCGTCATCGTCATCAGCTTTTCTTTTCTGCGTTTCGTTCGAATACGCGCAATCCTTTTGGGACTTAATCCAATCGAGACAACGTTGTTCCGAATCTTTGCTAGTTATCAACTTTTCACCGAATTCTGCCATTTTTTTAAATATTTATTACAGAGTGGTGAACATGAACATCGACTTATTTGAAATCTACATTTTTTTGTTAAATATAGAATTTCCAACTACTTCGCAACTTCAACCTTGTATCTCTTTTGTCGATGGTCATTGTTGGTACTCGAGTTTGAGTACCTAACCTGACTGTAACGTAACGCGAAATAAAGTATCTTATTTTATCAAAGATTCCTGATATCTCGCTATCGAACGTTTAAATGTTTCAAAAACTTTTCCAAAGACGAATATGGAAAATATCGACTATTTCCGCGGGAATGAAATGCACGTTTTTTCATTCGCAAATTTCACTGGGAAAACACCTTGATGGACACAAAAATTGTTCCACGATTTATGCGCTTTCCTCTGGTTGTTACACTGTCTATTTCATTCCTTAGATATATTTCTCGTTATCGATGCTTACACGGTTTTCGTGCGAAAGTTCGACACTCTTCTCGACGACCGAGACATGTCACGAAATTCCGCCAATTTTCACTGCGCATGTGTATTACAAATTTAAATGGAACTTTCCGATTCATTATTTGCAATTTATAGGAATAAGAATAAGAATACAAATACGATGTTTCGTTAAGTTAAATAAATAAGATATTTTCGATATAAATTATCCTATCGAAATAACATCTTTGTTTTTGCATAACTTTTACATAAATAAACATTACATTAGATATAGAATATAGAAAAATAATTATTTAAATAAAAACAGTTATTTGATATTTATTTCTTTAACTAGTATCAGAAGTTCAAATTAATCATTTTACTAGCACAACATTCCCCCATTATAATTTAATAATTATAAATTATTGATATTTTAATTTTTATATCATACGTATTAAATAATGCCATCTCTAAAAATATATCTTTTTTTTTTACATAAAGGATATGGCAAATGTGGAGTAGCAGTAATTCGAATATCTGGTCCAGATGCATCAGTAGCTTTACGTAAAATGACTAAAATGTCCAATCTGAAACCCAGGCAAGCTGTTTTAAGAAAAATTCATGATCCAGAAACAACAGAGATTCTAGACAAAGGCCTTTGCCTTTGGTTTCCAGGTATCCTAAATACAAAAAAAGAAAACAACAGTCTATTAACTATTATCCTCAAAAATAATGTTTCCTTTATAAATCAACCATCATTAAGTTGCAATAGTTAAATTAGAAAATAAATAAATTAAGAAATAATGATAAATTCCAGAACCTAATTCATTTACTGGAGAGGACTGTGTAGAATTTCACGTACATGGAGGTCCTGCAGTTGTGGCATCAATCCTCAATGCACTCTCAAAGTTGCATTTTCGGCTAGCACTCGCTGGAGAATTCACCAAAAGAGCTTTTTTCAATGGGAAATTGGATTTAACGGAAGCAGAAGGTATAGGAGATCTAATCGAAGCAGAAACTGAGAAACAACGCAAACAGGTATAGAACATTTGTTTAAGATATTAGTGTGAATATTATAAAATAAAATTTATTGTTAAAAAATCAACAGGCCTCCAATCAAGCTAGTGGTTCCCTTCGTCGACTCTACGACTCTTGGCGAATTACCCTTTTAAATTGTCTTGCTGGTTTGGAAGCTTATATTGATTTCTCTGAGGAGCACAGTTTAGAGTCTAATATTTTAGAAGATTCCAAAACCACATTGAAAAAATTACTTATAGAAATGCAGCAACATCTGTCTGATGGAAGGAAAGGAGAAATTTTGCGTACTGGAGTACGCGTGGTGATTCTTGGAGAACCTAATGTAGGAAAAAGCAGTCTTTTGAATCTTCTTTCTAAACAAGACGCTGCTATTGTCACATCTATGCCAGGAACAACTAGGGATGTTATAGAATTAACAACGAATATATGTGGTTACCCAATGATTCTTGCAGATACAGCAGGAATCAGAAATGATCCAGAAAATGAAATAGAAGTAGAAGGTATTAGAAGAGCAAAAGAATGTACAAAGAGAGCAGACCTCATTATATGTATGATAAATGCAAAGAAAAGTTTTGAAAGTTCTTTTGAAGAATTTTTAGAAAATTATAAGAATTTTCTAGAAATAAAGGCAAAGAAAATTCTTGTAGTAGTAAATAAAGTGGATTTGGTTAAAGAGAAAGAAAAAGAAAAATGGAAGAAGCAAGATATTGTTACGGTCTCATGTAAAACACAGGAAGGCTTAAAACAACTTATACATAAATTAACACAGTGTTTGGAGGAAATGTGAGTGTTTTATGTAGTGCTAAAATTATAGGATTTGTATTAGATACTATTTTAATGTATTAATTACAGATGTGGTGATCCCTCAGAGGAAAATCCTGTGATAAGTCATGCGAGATATAGAAATCATTTATTGCTTGTTACAGAATATCTTAAAGGATATCTAAAAAAGACAGAAATTCAGAATTATGACATAGCCATATCCTTGCAAGATATCAGAGGTGCAGCAAGGGAACTTGGGAAAATAACAGGTTCTATTAGCAATGAGGAGGTTCTCGATATTATATTTAAACAATTTTGCGTTGGAAAATAAAAATCATTGGAAAAAAGTACGGTTAATTGTAATATTAACAGAAAAAGGAAAGTACAGTCATAAATTCCATTATAATAATTTATTCAACTATAAATTATAGCATTTGTTTCTATCATAATAAACAAAAATAAGAAAATTTCAATACGTTTAAAGTTAACCTTCTTTTGTCTTCTCTCTGTCTGTTCCTAAATGTGAAACATCAACTTCGTCTAGGTTTATTTTTTGATCCTTCATCGCTTGCTAAAACATAAATAAAATATATAATTGTATATATCGTTACAGCTATCAATGTTAAACAAGTTTTTCAATCTAAACTTAGTCTTTACATATTTATTTGACTGATCTTACTACTTTGAAGATTTATGATAAAATATTTTTACTTTTTCATAGGTTATAGAATTGAAAATTCATAAACGAGTTCACAGTGAAGTTACATTGGATTTCTAAGATCGTTCAATGTTTAAGTATTCTGTTACTAATAGTATTTCAATCGACTCAATCAATATTACTTTTAATATAAAACATTTACGTTTGATCTTTACATTAATACCAAATTGAGGTTAACGTACTTCTAAACATCTCAAACTGCATAAATTCTAATAAAATTTATATTGTTTATCTACAAAATACAATTATTTTATATTTAACAGATTGAATGAATATAACATTCGCAATTTTTAATAAAAAGAATACAATTTTGTTAGTCACGTGGTCCTTTGTTTATTCGTTATTTAAACATATTTTTCTCGATTATTGAACTAATGGATATCGAACTAAACGACCAAAATCCGAATGGAGAATCCAACCAATAAATAGCACGACTTTTTGGGAAATTTAACTTACCGCAACGCACTCGGTATAAACTTTATACAATGGTGCACACTCACTATCGTCGTAATGTCCACGTAAAAACTTTTCAGAAAACCAAACATTGAAGCAGTGGTCGTACTTTGCTTTCAGGTCTTTGCAAGCTTCCATAATTTATTGCGTTTATATCTATCGAAACCGTTTACTAATTTTCGTCGTATTGTTCACATTTGTGAAATTCGAACATCAGTCAAATCAACATTGCATGACTACTCGTAAAGATTTGATTTGATTTCCTCGTAACTCGTGTAACGAGACACACGGTGTGATATACTTGCTCCATAAATTCCAAGTTTTGTTTAGGTTGCTTCCGTTAATTTCAATATTTCGGTATATAGGTTGGAATGCAGCAAGTATTACAAGCGTTACAAGTCATTCGAGAACTACACAATGACAAAATTCTGTTTCAATATTTTACGACTACTTGAAGCCTTTTATATATATGAGATATGCGTGCGTATAAAAATATATCTATACAGGTTGAGTCCGAAGAAACAGAACACTTAAATATCTCCGTTACATTTCGTTGTACAAAAAAACTTCTTAGGACAAAGTTACACTATTTCAAGGGCCACATGTAACTGTTTCTTCGGACTCACCCTGTATATATTTTGTATTAGAATTCTTTTATATCGCTGTCGATCGACCACGTGTACGAAATATTCTCATAAACATTATTTTTTATCATATTTTCTTAATTATACCTAATATGAAAAATGTTTTAAATTAATGTTATTTATTTTCGAAGAATTATCGGAAAAAAATATATTTCTTCGTATCGAGATCACAAGTGTTATATAAAGGGCGCCAGAAAGCCTTAAAATATTAATAAGTATTTTGTTATTGTTAGAGTTTTCAAAGAAAAAAAATTAAACTCAATTGTTTCGTCTTTTTGTATTATAATTTTTAAAGTAATCAAATTTTAAATTTAAATTATATTTTACTGAAGAACAGTAAAGGAATAAAAAAAAGATTGAATTACCTGAAGGCACTGGTTGTATACTTTGAAATAATTTGAACACATCGAATCGTCGTAATCTCCTTTAAGAAATTTTTCGGAAAACCAATATTTGAAGCACCTGTCGTACTCCTTTTTTAGTTGATTACAAGCTTCTGCGATACTATTCATCTCATTTTCAAATACGTCACTATTTTTATAGAGATAATTTTTACCGATATTTCACACTATTTTTAAACAGAAAAGAATATTTTTTAAATCGTTAGTTGATGTAATTAAAATTATCTCGCGTTAAAATAAGTCGATTTTGTTATCGATTTTAATTACGATATTTCGTATCGGTCAGAATCGATTAATCGAATTGTAATCTTTGTATGAAGTCAGAACGTTATTGATTTAACGAAATTTTTCTGTATTAGACAGAATCGAGCTTTAACACTTAATTAATTTAAGTGACAATAAACTGAGAATAACTTACGTCTTAAACGTTTACTTTGATAATTAAATTCACTGAATTTTCAGTAACGAAACACAAGTTATTTTGTGGTTAGCAAAGAATATGCTGCGCGTTAGTCAATAGTTGATGGTTCTCAACTTACTTTCTCTTAAAATATACTAGGATGTAACGAATACGTGGCATGATATGTAGGGAATTTTATGAAAGTATAAATGTCCATAATTATTTTATTTATAACGCCATTCCATTGAAACCAAAAATTAGAAACTGAGATTTCTGGAAGTAACTTCTAAAAGAATTAATGTAATAAAATTAAATTGAGGCATTATGTCTTTCACTTCTTGAGGAGATTCAACATGATATTTATTCTCACACTTTAACATAAATACCTAGATTCAAGTAATTTTCACTGAAAAATAAATACATCAAGTATATCTAGTATATGTAAATACACTTTTTATGTAAAAAGATAGAATACCAATAAGGATACAAATATTTACAATCTTGCATTGCCATTCTGAATCAAGTTTAGAAGGAAATAGTTTATAGAGAAAATATAAAATTAAAAAATATATTTTATTATTTGTTATAATAACGATTTTAGAATGTCATTTGGAACTTGCATTGTCTGATCATCGATTAAGACAATGTCAAATTGTTTCATGTACGATGACAAACTATTTTCTACCTGGAAAGAAAATGTCAAGTATTCCTAAATGGTTAAAATACAATGGGGTATTGGCAATCCATACAAAATATTTAATTAGATATTTAACACTTACATGGTCATAAAGGAAACCAATTTTTAGCACTGCGCAAGTGTCTACGATACCATCTACCATTGATGCATCCCCTGTGGTATCACCCATTAGAAGAATGTTTTGTCTTCCTTCGAGAACTTTTAAATACTCTTGTTCTATGGCATATTCATTTTTGTTAAAAACATGAATCAGTCTCTCATTTTTGAAGCCTGCTATTTTCCCATCTTCGTATTTGAGAAAATTAGAGATCACCTGATAATTAAAATGGAAATTAATATTACCATTCCTACCCTTAATTTCAGTTTTATCTTATATTATGAAAATCGTCAAAACCATTACCTTTACATTATCATACAGAACTCCTTGATTTCTTAAAATAGCTTCTACAACATCTCCTAAACCAGCACTGAAAACTAGTACTGGTACTCCAGCAGAATGTAATTTTTTAAATAGTTCTTTGGTACCGTCCCTTAAGTCTGTTCCATAAATCTTGGCAACTTCTGGTATTTCGTCGGGATTAAAAGGTATTCCCTTTATTATTTCTTCTGCCGCAATCATCCATTTGTTCATTGCTTCTATTTTTGTTTCGAGTGATAAATGAGGATCAATTTCTATTGGTCTGTATATTTCATAGAGGCGATTCGACTCTTTGGTATAATTCTGTGGAAGTTGTTTACACTTGCTGAAGATTCCTGTTTTTTAAAACAAACTTAGATTTCTTTCTTTATATATATTTATATAAAGTATGTATATACTTATACATATGTATATATATATATATACATATGTATAAATATAAGATATTCTTGTTTTACTTTAAAACTTTTCCGAACTAATTTCTCTAATAATATTTACTTTGTACTTACCAAAACTGCTGAGAACCTTTCTTCCATTAACATGTTGTTTTGTTAATGTCAAATCGAAATCAGTAACAACCTGAAAGTAAGATATTTTAAATCAACTCTAACTTAAAGGTTAGTAAGACATAAATGATTTTGCAAAACTAATTAAAAAGTAAAACATATTTTAACAAATACTTTTTACAATTTTCAGAGTAACAGATTTTTAGAGTTAATATACTTTTGTGTTCACTTCAATAATTTTTAGTCATTTTAATTTAGTCATAATTGCTTTTATCATTGTAATTTAAACAAGGAGCAAATAATAACACACATACCTGCAAAGAGCTACATCCTTCCTTCAGAATAGTGCTGATTACTCTCTGAAGATTTTTTTTGTCTTTAATGTGGACATGATTTAATTTTAGTGTTGGAAACTGCATCAGGAAAGAGGGTATACACATTTTGTTAACATAAAAAGAATCTCAAAAACAACAAAAACGTGTAGATAAAATTGCTTAATAATGAACTCTATCTTCATTTATCGCTTTAACGATTATTCTAAACAATAATCTTTGAAATGTTGTCTATTTAAAAGGAACTGTAACTTGGAAATTAATTTTCTATTAATTTTCGTCTCGATTGAGATAATATACTATTAATTTTAAAAAGTTTAATTTAAAAATTGGTTGCTCAGTTACTCTATAATATTTTGTGTAGGTCATTCATTTTTTATTGTTATTCATAATTAGACACATTCCTAAAATAATTCAATTTTATAAAAGATAACTTAATCTTTTGTTTCTTTATTCAACTAATATGCTGTTGTCAATCATATAGATTCAGAGGCAAAGTTCATTGCTGCTATTATGCTACTTTATGATAACATCATTGTTCGTTTATTGTCCATAATTTTGTGCAAGAACGAGTCGTTACGTAAAACGCATTCTGTAAAAACATGCGAAGTATGCCTTTTTTCTCTTGACATGTTTCTTTTTTAAAAGCACGAGTGATTCTCATTTCACACTGTCAAGAGAAAAAAAAAAGATTCGAAGAACGAATGTTAAAAAGATTAAATCGAATTGAGGTTATGTCGGAGTTATTAACCGCCAAAGTATTTAAAGTAGTGTAAATCAAATACAATTGGTCAACAGAAACCGCGAGAAATTTAAATTACTTACATCTTCGAGATCCAATTCGTGGGTCATGGTTTTCTTGTGCACGACGAGAAGAGGATTGAAAATCCTTCTTACTCACTTAGGGACCAAAACTGAGATATTGAAGAGCCGCCACAGAATTAATTAACCAATCAGCTAGTACGTGTGTCACGTGACTCACGAACCAATCAGTGATGGGAGAGAATATTTCTGTAGATTTCCAATTTTCAAATTTCTTCGTTGCGAAGATCACTTTATTATCGTGTGTGGTTGAGAGAGGGCACGAGAATAAAACGAATATACTATTTTTGTGGTAGAACATTTAATAATACTTATCAGGAATAACATAGTCGATTCTATAGTATTCGAATTTTCGATTAAATATAGCACACCTTACGTTTACATTATGCAAGTAGAACTGTTATTTATATATTTTAGCACATTGTGTAATATTTATATTTTATAATCATTTGTGTTATCATTTCTACGATTATTATTAATATTATAAAATCTTCACAGATGTCTCAAAGAATCTTAAGATCTTCCATTACGACAGAAAAAAAAAAGATGTGCTACCATTGCAATGATCTCATAGCTGAATGATAACTGGGACTATGCTGTGAATAAAACTGCGAGTACCACCTGCGGTAACTAAGAATACATTTATCTTCTTTAACGAGGAGCGGTTGTTTCTCGTATTTTTTTCGGTTCCAAATGGCTACGTCCCTTTCAAACATTAAACATTCTCCCAAGAATATCATAGCGGCGTAGGGAGCGAGCAGCGGTGCAGCATAAATTAAATGAGTCACCTAGAAACAAAAACAACGATACTATTACATTAACGATTGTAATGAATCTTATCAAATTGTTACTATTTTAATACTACACTTCAAATATTCCCGCGCTTCAGATTGTTTCATCATCCACGACGATCCGGCAACGCTGCCTCTAAGGAGTATCTGAACTAGTGTTGAGGTTAGAAACTGTACAGGGGAGGTGATTTGAAACAACTTTTTGCTTAGCGAAAATATTGTCCGAGGCTTCGTTGAGGAGATATTAAGCGGAAACCCCGACCAATCAGAGCGCGAGTACGCCGGTTGAGCGTAGGCTAGGCGGTCGCTCTCGTACGCTACCGCGCCCGCTCAACCATCATACTCGCGCTCTGATTGGTCAAGCTTTTCTCTTAATATCTCCGTAACGAGGCCTCGGACAACATTTTCGCTAAGGAAAAAGTTGTTTCAAATCACCTCCCGAATCACCTCTTTCAAGGTGTTACAACATTTTTGGGACACCCTGCATAATCGTATTTAAAATTTTTTTGCAGAAATTTTCGCGTTCATATCCAAGATTTGGGTTAATAAACTGATCGAATAATTCTTAATTATTTAGTCAACTTTTTGAGGCAATTTTACTTGAAAAGACTAGGTTAAATTACACTAGCGCGGACACACTTTAGGCAACATAACCTGCAAATACGTGTACACGAATATCAAAGATTTTCAACGAGAGTTACACCCTTATTACTCTGTTAAACTACTCTGTGATATCGAGAACGTAGCTTTGAGAATTGAAATAAAATAAGGAACCTTCTGTAAAAGGGGTTCCATCGGCGTCACTGTTTGAAAGATACATATTCGGCCAAAATAGGTGTCCATCATCATTTCGACGTAGCCTGGACCGATTTGTTGAACGTGCACGTCCAAGTTCCAAAGTTTATATTTCTCGAACAGAACTAAAGTGTGCTTTAGAGTCGTGTACGCTCTGTGACTTAAGTCTTTGTCGTCTTGTCTCTTTGGTTCATCGTCGTCGGATGCTTTACTTTCAGTGAGCAAATTATGCGGTCTCCAACCGACATTCGTCCAAGAATGACGAGCGAGACAAGAGAATGCGTGTATGATATTCGAAAATATCATTGGTCCATGCACTGCGCTTAGATGCGCTGTATCAGCGCCGTTTTCTGCAACCTCCTGAAACGAACAATGTATCAATGGGTGCAATGTGCAGAGACAACTGTTTCGCAACTGTCGAGCGATTCTCTTGGACTCTATGATTCGATTCGTCTATTCCAAGAGAATATACCGATCGAAGTAGAGTTTAAATAGAAGTTTCCCAGCTGAATCATCTGATCTCTTACCTGTTTGAACCCGATGTATCGATCATTGTTCTTAGGATTCATCATGGAGGCTGCAATCAAGGAGTCCAAAATCCATTTCTTATTTCAAATATCCATGCCTTACTTAAGAGATATCTAAAAACAAGAAAAAGAAAAGTAGGAAGGCTAAGAGATCTTTGTCGATTGAGAAATTAATGGCAAGTTGGTTTCCTTGATTTTAGTTTCCATGATAAATTTAAGGAATTCCTTTCGCACGTTAATCTTAATTTCTAAGTACTTTAGTTAAAACTCAGGATAAATGAACGAATTGTTTTTCGACTTCGTTAAACTGACCTGTATGTGGCAGTTGATAAGAAATTCGTTTCTACCGTGATAACGCCACGTTCGGTTCGATACGTGACTGACTGTCTGCGGCTGCCAATTCGGCTCCAATCCTTCTGCGTGGTACCAAACGAAAATGATGTTGTTGGCTTCGCAACATTTCCAAGTCTTTGTTCTTGCAATGTGTGGCACTAGAAATATTAAACAAGATGGTCACATACATGTATGCAGGAAAACAAAGCATGACGTAACAACGAAATCCAACTAATGTTATTCTTGAAGTAGAATAAGGTTCATATAATATTAGTACAGAGTGAAATAAAAAGAAATAAAGAAGCTGAGGTTTTTCTACATGCTAATGTTAAAGCATGATACTTCCAGGAAGTATTGTACTTGATATACACCGCTATGATTCCTTTGTAAAGTGTCTTTATCTGTTTGTATAGGCCCACAGAAGAGAGATTTGTGGTAACAGTTCACAAAATCTATTCCTGAGAAGAATATGGATGTAGATAAATCTTGAAGTATGGTAATTTCAAGTACCTTTATCAGAATATGGAATGTAATCACACTGTCCATCAGAGCCACGGAATTGCCAGCCATGGAAGGGACATTCCAAACAATCCCCTTTCACGCGACCACCTTCTGCCATGTTGGCGCCAAGATGGGGACAATAAGCGTCCAAAATCCTCACCGTCCCATTATCTGTTCTTTAAACGAATGTTGCTGTCAATTATTTCCATTCAATTTTAGTCGTTCAGTTTCAGCAGAACGGATAAAATATAAAAATGCGACTTAAGTACCTGAAGACAGCAAAATTCTGCCCAAGCGCCGCCACGTGCTTCACTTGGAGCTTGTCCAACTGAAAGCTTTCCAAGAGGGCGAACCATCCGTTCGGATAAACAGGAGGAAGCTTCCCCAATTTACGTTTCTTCGATTCTAAATGATTCGCCAAAATCCTCTTGTTGTCACCCTCCAGCCTTAAATCCTGGAAAAACGACGGAGAGCTGATAATTACTCTCGAGTCTTCCTTGTCGGAGGAACCGATAACTGATAACAGTGAAGTAAAACGATATTGCATTCGGATATTGGATTCGGTTTGTGTAACAAACAACATTTTTTAATTTGCTTTTCAATTAGGTGTTCGATGTCTAAATTTAGTAATAGATCGTTATCAACGATTTTCGTATAAAAGAATCCAGGCGATCGCTGATGCGATGTAAAAGGATTCCTGTAGGTTTACGTCGTCACGCGCAACAGAAATCTGCCTCCTCATCTATAAACATAATGTCATCGCGTTGGCTCCTACTCGCCTCGTGCGTGTCCTTTGCGTTAAACTATATACAGGGTGGCCTGAGCAATGTATTACGAGCTATTTTTCCTCGAAACTACTGCAGATACTATTAACTACTGCAGATTTAAATTAAATAGGGAAGTTAATTTTGTAAAGTGAAAGAAATTTTTTTAGGATGCAGATAGAGTTTTGTAGTCTCTTCGTGGGTTAGATTACTTTTGTTATATTTATAATTAATTCTAGTTCTACTGGAAAGTACGAGTAGTAAGAATGTAGAGAAGAATGCTTTTGTTTGACTTTCAACTTTTCTTGACTCGAATAAGCGAATCAGGTGTTCACGAGTAACGCATATCCGCTAACAGTTGACGTAGCATCGCAATATATGTATGTAACTTTGACGCAGACTTGGCTCGCATTCGATTGAAATTTAATGCTAATTCTATGGTAACCTAACGCGATCTTGAGGTTTTATCAGCTTTTTCGCACTTTCATTCAAACCGACATAAGAGAACACGGTTTCTCTTCGTGTCGGATCAAAATCGAAACGAAAGGAACACAAAGTGTAGAATAAACAGTACCGTAAATTAATGCTTTTGAAAGAATCTTGATCTTGAGTCTATACTCGTAAATCAATTAATAATTGTTCGCATACAAAGAGTAATGTTAGTAATGTTATATTATTGCAGTATTATACAAGCTACTCGATATTTAATATTTCTCCTCTTTCCCAGTTCACGTTTAACGATATTGATTTTCAACTTAAATTTAGTTATCTCCAAAAGACCGAATGCGTTACAAACATTATATAATTGCCTAGAAAAATTAAACCTAAATAGGAATTTATTTTATACCGCAAATATTATAAGATGAGCTTTCAATGTTTTTTATATTCTTGCATATTGTTTGTATTTGTTCTTGCACATTCAAATTTCCTATAAGTGCATAAAGATCAGCAGTCTAATAATTACATTCGAATTTCGTCGCGTTAAAATTAATATCGTTCATAAATTAGTTAGGTTTCAGAGGATTATAATAATGTAAGTAAATAAAGAAGGGAGTTTAAGGATGATTTCATATGTTAAGAGAAAAAAGTATGCGAGGTTTGGTTTAATCTTTTATTTGAGCTCGATTGGAATTTATTTTATTTAAGATTTTTCTTAAACTATATACAGGGTGGCCTGAGCAAAGTATTACCAGCTATTTGATAATAACATTCGAATTTCGTCGCGTTAAAATTAATATCGTTCATAGACAAGTTAGGATTGCCACGTCACCCGTTAGTGTTTCAAAGGATTATAATAATGTAAGTAAATAATAGAAGGGAGGTAAAGCATGATTTCACACGTTAAGAGAAAAATTACGCGAGGTTTGGTTTAATCTTTTATTGAAGCTCGATTGGAATTTATTTTATTTAGGATTTTTCTAGAATCAATTTCCGATGTACTGCTAGACCTTGATACAGGGTGTCTCAAAAATGTTGGAAGGGGAAGGAGAGTCCTTGAAAGGGGTGTTTCAGGGGGTGATTTGAAACAACTTTTTCTTTAGTAAAAACATTATCCGAGACTTCGTTACGGAGGTATTAAGAGAAATCTCAACCAATCAGAGCTCGAGTATGCCGGTGGAGCGGCCGCGGTAGCGAAGGCTACGCGCTGAGCGGTCGCGCTCGTGCGTCCTTCGCTGCACGTCGAGTCACTTGTTCGCGTACGAGCGCGACCGTTCAGCGCGTAGCCATCGCTACCGCGGTCGCTCCAACGGTATCCGCGCGCTCTGATTGGTCGATGTTTTCTCTTAATATCTCTTTAACGAAGCCTCGGACAACATTTTCGCTAAGGAAAAAGTTGTTTGAAATCATCCCCCGAACCACCTCGTCCAAGGAATTCCAACAATTTCGGGACACTGTATATCGAGTGCTTTTCATCGGACCTAAAAAACTTAATTTCTAAACGTCAGGTATCGAAAATAAATTTGACTGAAGTCCTCGAATTTCGACGAGATTAAAAATATAAATGTAATAAATGTTTTATTGTCTCCGGTAGTCTCTAAACAAAATTTAATCCCGTTAGAAATTTCCAAGAGTCTGCCAGTGAACGCGTTGAAACTCTTAACTTAAGAGGGCAGACGTTATTTCTGTCGAGGAATGTAATTTAGTACAATAGTAATTCGAGTGGTATCTAGTTTAGAAGATATCTAGTTAGAAAATATGTAGTTGCGAGAGTCGGCGTGGACGCGAGTAAAATACTGTATAAGTAGGTAAGCCGGGCAAAGGTATCAAAGAGGACTCACCTTGATCCAGTTGATCTTGTACAAATAGGGAGCAAGGAGAATACCAAAAAACAGAAGAAAAGCACCACCGAGGCTCCACCATCCGGCCATCGCTGTCTTCTTCACCCTCTGCTCCCGAACGAAGAAGAGCAAGTGCACTCGAAAAACTTGTCCCTCCGGAACACCTTCGATGGCCACCTCTCTTACTTCTTGCTCTCACTCTCCTTCTTTCTGTCAGTCGTCCCTTCTTTCCTTTTTCCACCACTCTCTACCTCTTCTATTTTTCTTTCCTTCCTTCCCTCTTCCTCTGCGCGACTCACGTTTCTCCCTTCTACCTTCACTTCCTTCTTCCTTCGCGCTCCCTTTTTCTTCCCTCTTTACTCCCTTCCCTCTCTTACCATCCTCCCTTCACCCTTCTTCCTTCCGTGATATCTTCCTTCTTTAGCCTTCCCTTCCCATGCCCCCCCCCCCCTCTCCGCTGCTGTTTTACTACCGACCGGGGGCCTTTTCCCGAATTTCACTTTCAACTGGGCCCTTTATCTACGAAACGTTCCCTTGATCCAATCTCAACATTTTTACAGAACCTATTCACTCGTTACCTTTTCCTTCGGTCGAGGAAGCCTTCACTCGGTCTCTGTTTAGTTGATTCCTTTTCATGTGCGTTCTCTCTCTCTCTCTCTCTCTCTCTCTCTCTCTCTCTCTCTCTCTCT